ATTGGAATAGATGGTCTTTACCTCAATCTAATAAAAGTTAATATAGCTGGATACAAAGGCAACAGTGAAAAATCAATAGCCTTCCTGTGCACAAACAACAAATTCATCAAGAAAAAAAGTAGGGAAACCACACCCTTCACAATAGCATCCAAAAAAATGAAATACTTAGGAATCAATCTAACGAAGAAAGTAAAAGATCTATATATTGAAAATTAGAGTTCTCTGGAAACAGAGATTGAAGAGGATATCAGAAAATAGAAAGATATCCCCTGCTTACTGAAGAATAAACATAGTGAAAATGGCCCTATTCCCAAAATTGTTAATACAGAGTTAATGCAATTCTGATCAAAATACCATTAGCATACCCAACAGAACTACAGAAAACATTCATAAAATTTATCTGGAAACTGAAGAGACCTAGAATAGTAATAGCAGTTCTGGACAACAAAGGCAAGGCAGGAGACATCACAATCCCTGACTTGAAATTATTCGGCAAAGCTACTGTGATAAAAATCAGCATGGTACTGGCAAAAAAGCAGATCTGAGGACCCGTGAACAGATTAGAAGATGCAGACACAACTACAAAGACTTTTCAGGCACCTTATCTTTGACAAAGGAGCCAAATATGTTCACTGGAAGAAAGATAGCTTCTTTAATAAATGCTGCTGGAAAACGAGCTTTCCACATGCTGAAGACTAAAACTAGATCCATGTCTATTACTGTGCACAAAACTAAAATCAAAAATCAAAAATTTAAATATTAAAACAGAAACACTAGAGCCGGGGATATAACTCAGTGGCGCAGAGCCTACCTGACAAGCACAGGTCCTGAGTTCAATTTCCTAGTATCAAAAACAAAAAATCTGAAATAAAACAGAAACACTGTATCTACAGGAAGTGTTAATATGTAGAAATCTTGAAAGACATAGGTATAGGCAGAGAGTTCATAAATGAAACCCAGACTGCATGGAAAATATTTCAAAGAATCAACCAATGAGATCTCATTAAAACATTTTTGCACATCAAAAGAAATGACCAACAGTGAAAAGACAACCCACAGAGTGGGGAAAGTTATAGCCAAAGAACACATAAAGAATTGAAAAAAATCAGTCCCCCTAATTTAAAGATGCAACCCAAAAATGGGCATCTGAGATGAATATGCACTTCTCAGATGAAGAAATACAAATGGAAAATAAATAAATGAAAAAATGTTCAACATCATTGCTAATTTGAGAGATGCAAATTAAAACGACTCTGAAACTCCATCTCATTCCATAAAGAATGGAATACCATCAAGAAATCAACCAATAGGTTGATTAGCTCAGTGGCCTAAGTGCCTGCCTTGCAAGCAGGCAACTGTGAGTTCGATCGTGGATACCGATAAAAAAGAAAAAGACAAAAAAAGAAAAGAAATCAACCAATAACAAGTACTTGGAGGGGCTATGGGGAAACAGGAACCTTTCTCCACTGTTGGGGAGAGTGCAACCACTCTGGAAACCAGTATGGATATTCCACAAATAACTAGGATTAAAAGCCCCATTCAACCCAGCTGTTCTTTTCTGGGTATCTTCCCAGAAAAATTAAAAACATCATGCCACAGAGATATATGTGCATCTATGTTTATAAAAGCACAATTTGTGATAACTAAATCTTGGAAACAACTCAAATTCCCATCAACCAAGGAATGGATAAAAAAGATACAGCTTTTTTAATAGAACAGAATACTACCCAGTCATAAATAAGGATGAATTTGGGACTTTTATAGGTAAATGGATACAACTAGAAACTATACTCATAAATGAAATAAACCAGACTCACCTGTGTAAACATCATATTGTCTCCCTGGTGAGAATATGAAAGAGTAAATAAGGTCCAAAATGTATAATAGATATTGTGAAATGGGAAGAAATTGTTCAAAGTGAAAAAGAAATTAGGATGGGGAAAAGGGAAAAGGAAGAAAAGGCAAAAGAAAATATAAATGTTACACTCCTAGCTTCTCTGAGTTCATTGAAAAGATTTGTGCTAATATCATTTGGAAAATTTTTTACATTCATATTTTGTACTCTGAGTAACTACTTTAAAAATAACACACAATGTACTATTTTTATTCCTCATTGTATTATTATTATTATTATTATTATTATTATTATTTTGGTGTTGGGAATTGAACTTAAGTCCTTATACTTGCCAAGCAGGTACTTATGCTCTCCTATTCTTTTGTTAGGAATTTTATTTTTTTTCCAGTAAATATGTAAAGTCTATGTGTATTTAAAAAAAAAAAAACAGAAAAAGTGCAGCCCCTTCAATGCATGGACGTTCTTATGCTATTGTTTTGAAATTAATGAATAGCTTATTTGCTCTGGCTAATATTTCTAGAACTATATTGAATAGGAGTGGTGATAGTGATGAATACACCACACATATGAGGAGATGCGGTCATTACTCCAGTATGCCCCTAGCACAAGAACTTTTACAAAAAAGTATTTTTTCAGCATAGTATGGTCAAATCAAAAATTTTTACCTGTCCAAGCAAATATGTGGCAAAATCATAAACTCTGAAAATCCTTCTGGTGTGAAATTTGTTAAACAGACTGATAACCGAATCATTTGTGTATTAACAGTCTATAAAAATCATACATGCACATTGATTGAAGGAAAACCTGGAAACATAAAACTTGAGCTTGTCTTTGATTACAAAGAAAGGTGCTGACTTGGCAGAACAGGCATCATCCTATTAAATGCAGTTCCTTAAGGAAAACACTGAAATGGCACAAAAACTTGTGATCCAGCCACTCTGCATTACAGCAGTTGTACATGCATATTGTATACAATGGGAGACTCACGAGATTTCTATGGTAAAACTGAAAATTCATTTTTTATAAACTATTGACCCACTGTGAAGAAATGCCATGGGCATAAATTACTCAAAAATACATTCTCAGTATAGAAGCTTATTTACAATGGGCCTCAGAAATAGTACCAAGCCGTCTATCGTGGTATTGTTTTCTTAAATACTTACCTCTGATAATTTAACTTACAATTAGGCAGAGTAAGAAATTAAAAACAAAACAAAACAGAAAAGATAATCATAACCACATATTGTAGTAGAGGTTATTTAAGACATAAATTTTTAAATGTTTAATATTTGTAGAATATTTAATATTTTTAGATCCCAGTTGACCATGGATAACTGAATCCAGACTATGGGTAACAGATAAAAAGGGACTGTAGTACCCAGCATATTTATTTTTACATTACTATAGTACAGCTATAAAAATCACTGATCTCACCATCTTGCTTTGACTGATTTTCCGCTATTCTGCTTTGCTTGATAGTACCAAGTTCGAAAGTATAGGCAACAACTGTGAAGGCAGGGGCTGGGGATTTAGCTCAGCAGCATAAGCACCTGCCTTGCAAGCGGCACTCGTGAGTTTGATCCCTGGTACCGATAAAAATGAAAAAGACCCCCAAAAAAAAAAAAAACTGTGAAGACAATAAGATTCATTATGACGCCCATTCCGTTTGACTATTATCTTCTTTTAAAGTTCTGTAATGTCTCCAATGTTTTGGTTTTATTCTTTACTGTTTTGTTCAATTTTATTATAACTGATGATACAGGCAATTCTTTTTAGGATAGCAAGAAGCAGTATGGTAACCATTGTTGATCACCTTGTATTTTGTTTTTACATTATCTATTATGTCCATCCTTTTGATTTGACTGACTCTGTTCTGTTATGTCACATTTGGTTTTACTCTCTTCAAAAAAAAAAGTAGTAAGAACTGAACTGTGGGAGTAATAAAACTCAAAATGTGTAATTGTCATTGTACAAAAGAAAGGAAAAGAAAGTGCTCTAAAGAATATAACTGCATAAATATTTAAGAGTATAAGATAACCATATTACTGAGTTTTGTTGGATTATTGAACAAAACTGTTTCCAGTCTCACTGTTTGAAAGTCCACTTTATATGCTTTAATTTTGGAATTTGAACAACTATTTCTAAGATAACAATCTGTAATGTATTAACTAGTGATTTCCTACTGTTTATTTTTTCTGAAATTCTGTATAACTTGTATCCTTTTTGTTTTGTTTTTTCTTTTTCTCCTTAAATAAAAAAAAAAAAAAACCACTGATTTAATTTAAAAAAAACTAACTCTGCAAAGTCAGGGTTTTCACCCCTTGACGGCCAAGAATCGGTAAGAACTGTCTCCTAATCACTCCCCCTCCCGGCACATGTGCACATCCCATTCATTATGTGGCCAGATTAAACTCTCCTGGAGCATGTAAGCTTTAAGTAGTTTATAGATTTCTACTTTGTTTCATCCAATGTATATGTCTTAAAGGACCCAGAGTTCAAAAGCTCTGGAAAAGCTGGGCAGGGCGGCACATGCCTGTAATCTCTGCACTCTGAAAGGCAGGAGGATTCCAAGTTCGAGCCCAACTTTGGCAACTTAATAACTTGGCAAGATCCCATCCCAAAATAAAAATTAAAAAGAGGTTCAAGGCGAAGGCCTTGAGTTCAATCCCTATTTGGGGGAGGGACCTCTGGAAACACTGGTCTTAGTTCCACAGGAGCGGCAAGGGACCCTAGGGGAAGTGACATCTAAAATCGGGCTGGAAAAATAAAATAAAAACAAAATGGAAAAAAAAATAAAATAAAATGGGACAGGGAGCCGGGTAAGGCGCTGCTGGGAGTCAGATTCTGTGCTGAGCGTTTCCAAAACCCTGGCAACACGCACTCCATCACCGCCGCCTAAGGTGCGGAAACGGGGTTAGGAAATCACCCTCCAAGTCTGTCAATCGCACGTCCAGTCTCCCGTGTACCACAACCGGGCCCACCCGACAGGCACCCCACGGCCGGGCCTTCCTGGCCTTCCACGCGAATCCCGGCTCGCTGCCTGGCACAAGCACCTACAGGGCGTGCGGCGCGCCCCCAGGACGCCGGCAAACGTACGCCCCGCCCCCTGGCGTCCCGCTGATGTCATCACGCAGGCCGAGTCGGCGCGTCCACGTCCTTTAAATACGGCCTTCCCGGGCTGGCTGCGCGAGGGTGAGGTTTGGGGCGTAGCGCGTGAGGCGTGGGTGTTGCGGCCGAGCCGCCCCGCCGCCGAGCGCAAGGTGGGCAAAAGGGCAGGCATGTAGCGGCGGGAGATCTAGGCCCTGCGTGCAAGCTGGCGAGCCGGCGGCGCGGGGCTCGGGGGCTCGGGGACTCGGGGAGCTGGCGGAGGAACATGGCGGCCCTGCGGCCTGCGCTGCTGCAGTCTCACTAGTCCGTGGGTGTGCTTTCCCGACATGGCCTCGTCCCTTCCCGGATTCGCATTCCTCCGCCCTACGCGGGGTCGAAGTGGACTCACTGGGATCGGGCCAGGCACAAGAGGGGCCAAGGCTCCCAAATCTTGTTACTGCCCTCACCAACCACTAGGTCAACCCGCCCAGAGTGACAGATCCCCAAATCCCGCCCGCTTGTTAGTCCTGATGGTCCTTCTAAGTGATCCTGCGAACTGTCACGTTGCCTGGACCTGAGCCTCAGCGATGTGACTGGTTTTCTTAGAAAGGTCTAAGGTTCTTCATAGTCAAAGAACGTTTGCCACGCATGGTCTGCGGAATGTGCCCTATAACAGTGTATGATTGGGAAACAAGATTAATTTTGGCAGGAAGGGAGCAGGGGGGAGCTAAGACAAACACCTGGCCATCGAGTACAGTACCTAATATGACAGCAGTGAGGACACCGTTCTGTGTCCCTGAGGAAGCAACACTATTCCCCAGGGACTGTCCTAAGACCAGGGCTTCTGGCCTAGGTTAAATGGAAAAGGACTTGTTGTTCAGCTACAAAAACCTTGGGAATGTTCATTTGTCAACAGTATTCCATTCTAGGTGTCTCAGACAGTTGATGTTAAGCAGAGATTGTCACCTAAGTTAGTACCTGTCTAAGCCAGTCCCTTGCTTTTGATTGCGATCTTTTGTTTTTTCTCAGTTGAGTGTAGATGCTGGAAAGAGCTTGCCTGTCTTGAAGGCTTTGCTGCTTCAACAATTGTATGGTGTCCTGAAGCGGAAATACAGGAAGATGAGCTCCTATGTATCCATGAGTGAGCCAAAGTTGAACTGGTAAGTCCTGTCTCTTCCACTGAGGAGGACTGCGCCTGGGCTGGAGGTTGAGGAGAAGGTAGCTTTTAGCCCAGAGAGATTTGGAAGAAACAGAACATAAAGTTCACGATCTTGGAATTTACCCTGAATGCTTCTAATTTACGATTCTGTCGTGAGTATGTCATTGGTCTCATCTGGGGGGAAATGCTGGGATTTTCAACTTTGCCCATTTTCATAAAGTAGTAAAAGAGATCTTTAAAATTAGGCACACTTCTTTTGTTATATTTCAGTCTATTTCAAGTGATAATATAACCGTATGGAATGTATTCTGTATTTTAGAAGTGCATGAGAACTTCTCAGATGGAGAAACTAGTTAAGTAATGTGGTTTTGTAAGCATATTAATATGACACATATTTCTGTGTTAGATCATTTTAACATGCATTTACAGAGCCAGCCATACAGAAGTCACACAGAGGTCACAAAGATTTTTTTAAAAATGGTACCTGACTCAAAGATCATTAAATCAGTATGTTCAGGAATAACCTGTTTATTGCAAAAAACCTCTCATTCCCAAAGGGGTTGATAATGCCTGAGGCCCATGATTTTGTTTTACAATGCTATGTGGACATCTTAGAATTTAATGTAGGCCCATAACAGAGTAATAAGAAAGTTTAAGCTGGGCTTGACGTTACTTGCATGTAATGCCAGCTTTTCCAGAGACTGAGGCAGGGGAACCACGGGTTCAAGGTCAGCCTGACCAACTTGGTGAAGTTGTATCTCAAAAGCACAGGATGTAGTTCAGTGATAATGCATTTCTAGCTGGAGGCCTTAGGGTCAGTCTCCAGGGTCACAGAGGTCCATAGAAAATAGGAAATTATAATTTTACCATTAGTACCTTAATCAGAGAAAACACCTATAAGAGCTTTACTAGTTGAATATACAAAAAAATGTCCCGTTCGAGCACTGTGTCAGCTAGAAGTTGTATTGGATTAGAGTGTTCCCTTGTAGGTGTTAAGAGGCACATTTGTGCTCCTTGCCAGGACTGTGAAGTTCTGTGTTCAAGTGTTGAGCATACTTTTCTTACATATGTACCCCTGGTGTCGTGAAACCAAATGTGGCTTAGAATCTTTGCTTGTGACTATAACCCTGGAAACTATGGTTTCTCGCAGAATTCTAACTGTGGTCCTTCCTAGATGAATGATTCTCAAGTGTGTTCAGTTTTGTAATTCATTCAGTCAGTGTTTTGGGGGTACTTACATGGGGAGCATTGGCTGGAACATGTTCGTCTCGATTAATTATGGTCTTATGAAAACTCATGTATCACTTTAGAGGTGATTTTAGCAAAGGCACCCCATTTGTCTCATATGCCTAATTAAAGATAAGTAGGGTATTCAGTTTCTTGGTCTGGTACAGTAGTGCTTGAAAGAAAAATAAATTAAGAAACAGATTCTTGTTACCAAAGATCCTAATGTCATAGCCTACAGCCAGAGGTGAGCCCTGCCTCTGGAAGACTCTTAGTGGTTCTTTTATCTCACGAATCTCTGTTGACATTTATCTAATTGGGTACTGCAAGAAAAGCTAGGGTGATTATAGGAGCTGGAAGCTTTCGTTACTGGCCTGAGCTTAAAGCTGCCCAAGAAATAAAACATCCAGGTCACAGAAATGGTATATGAAATTAAATATATTAAGAAGTGATTGTCTGGGAAGAGGGGAGAGGGCATGTGTTTGTAATTTACAGCTGTACCATTGTCTAGTGTGAGATTTTGAGTTGTCAGGTGCAAGTAAATTATCTTCTTTCACAGGGATGTCTCCCCCAAAAACGGCTTGAAAACATTTTTCTGTCGAGAAAACTATAAAGAACACTCCATGGCTCCAAGTTTAAAAGAACTGTGTATTTTATCTAACAGGTAATATGCTTATTCGTGTAGCTATGTATTTTCATATGCAATTATTTCTCTGATAGAGTTTTATATCTATATTGTACATTCAAATGATAGAAATTTTAAAAATAGAAGAAAACTACTGTTAACACTTTATCTTTCTCCACCCATGAGCAAAACCTAATACACACATAAAATGGGATCATTCTGTAAAGAGTAGAATAATATAAACCTGTTTTAAAGTTTGATCTTTCATTAAAATCAGTATTTTGTGTCTGTCCATGCCCCCTATAGATAATGCTTTTTCTACTCGTCTCAGTAGGTATATATTATTTCATTATATAGATTTTTAAAAATTCATTATGTAGTTCTATATTGAAAAATGTTTGTATTCCTCTCTCTGTAAATAAATAGTGAGAGTTTTTTTTTTTTCAATTTAAAGATAAATTCTTGGAAGTTGAATTGTGTAGTCATACAGTCTATGTCCTTTGTGTTTTCATAGATACTACTAGATTACCAAAGCTTTTTTCCTCTCCGGTATGAAAATGACTATTCAGTAGTAATTTTCGTGTCTTCCTGCTCACCTGCTTGTCACAGCAGCTCTTTGTTTTCGATGGACTTTCCACTCCACTGTGAATTCATCCGGAACCCAGCAGATGCAGAGTTCGGGAGCTCTCCTAGGGGAGTTCAGCATTTACAGTCCTCCTTGTTTCTTTTACCATGCAGGAAGCCCATCTCCTCAGCTTTTCCTGCCTTCTCAGTTTTCTCTTTGCCAATTACCACCTCTTGTTCCTGTATGTTTGTTCTCCCCCTTTTTCAGTCATCTTGATCAGTAGTAGAAGGTGTTCAGGTTTTCCTGTTTTAAATAATCCCTGAGGTCCGCATGCCACTCTAGACACTGACTTCCATCTTTCCTCATTCTTTAAAGACTTCTGTGTGCTTACTGAGAGGAAATGAGCATAAAAAGCTGTAAGACATACAGGAAACATTTAACAAAATAGTGAATCCTTCTCTATCAGTAATTACCTTAAGTGTAAGTGGATTTAACTTCTCAATCAAGAAGCAGATTGAGAGAATGGGACTTAAAAAAAAAAAAAAACAGAGTAAAAAGCTTCATTCACTGCATATCCTGGCAGCTCTCAAAGTTTCTGAGGGAAGGACGGGGAGATGGTGGAAAGATAAAGATGAGAGAGGAAATCTAAGGTCTGGTGGAACGCACTCTCCAGATGGGAGCAAAGGACCAGCTCAACTCCAGCGGGCCTTTATTTATGTGTTTGGCAGGTTGGCGTCACTTTGCCTGGCAGCCCATTGCCTGGATTGTCTAGGGGTTTGGCAGTTCTCTGAACCAGAGCCACTTGTTCCTGTGTCTTGCCTCAGGGGCTCTGTCACCCCAAGTGTCATCAATTTGCAGCTTCAACCACTCCCCACAGTTCACTGCAGAGCTCCCTGCACTGGCTTTTAAGTGAACATCTGCTCTAATCCAGTTCCATTCTTGCTGCTGTCCACCTTCAGTGGGCGCTGGCCATCTCACTGTCCTGGTTTTCTTCCTAGTATTCTGCTTACTACGTATGTTGGGTCCCAGATCTTTTGCCATCTTTACCTTCAGGCTTCTCCTAATGGCCGAACATCAGTCAGATTCCCTTGAATATTTAAGAAATACTTATTTTACAGTCTTGACCCAGCATTTTAAATGTGAGCCCCAGAGATTGAGGATGTTTCCGCCAAGTTCATTTAGCTTATAATGGGTGCCTGTGTGTTGTCCTGCACATATACATTAATCCGCCCCTTCTTTTATAGCACAAAGGGAGCATACTGTGTATGGTAGCCTGTACTGTACTTGCCTCCCTCCTGATGTATCATGGTAATATTCTTAAATTAGTACATATAGGTTGACCTCATTCTGTTCAGTGGCTGCTTCACATTCCGTTGATGTATATGTGTAATTTTTAAGTGCCCTATTGATATTCATTTAGCTCACTTCCATTCCTGTACTCTTATAGTAGCTTTTTAATACACACATTTGTATAAATATGGTGAATTTTTGTAAGTGGAAGGTATGTGCATGTTTTTTTATTGATAAGAATTGCCAGATTGGTATTACAAAGATTCACGAGTCAAGCATATTTTAATTGCATCACTACTGTCAGCTTTAGGAAGTTGATGGATCCTTTACAGATGTACATCTGTGGATTTAAAAAATAATTCTGTGTTTCAATTTGTATCATTTCTTAGAGATAATTTCATAAAACGTACTATTTAAAGAATAACTATTCAGATTCAAAGAACACCTATCAAATTGTAGTATCCTGGCATTTGGGGACCCTACGTCTTTACCTTTTATTAAAAGTCCATTTGCCCGGGGATACAGCTCAGTGGCATAAATGGCAAGTGTAAAAAGTCTTCTTAGCACTTTTGAACTTTTATTTCACTTACACTTCAAACTAAAACATTTTAATATGGATTTTGTTCATCTTTGCACTTCTTAAAAATGTTAATGGTTGTCGGGTCAGTTTTGTTTGGCATAATTTAGATGTGGCGGTAGCCTTGCTTGTGCAAGGCGGAGGAAAAAGTGTGTGTGCTGCACACCCACGACTCTGTCACTCTGGCTGACTGAGCTGGAGAGCTGCAAGTTTGAGACCACAACCCTGTCTCAAAAGGAAATAAATACATAAATAGGGCTCAGGACGAAGTTCAGTGCAGAAGCCTTCCATTCAGTCCCCAGTACTACAAAAAACAAAACACAGCACAACGGTAGGTGGGGAATGGAGGACATTTGGCTGGCAGTTAGGTGTGCAAGACTCCTAAAATCTTTCTTCTCCCCTTAGAATCTGCTTGTTTTTTCCTTAGCTTTCTATACTGCATAAAATAATTCACTTGCATAATTTACCTTTTATATAGAAAAAACCAAAGGCACAAGGAATTGATACTTGCTTCTAGACTTTTCTTCCTAACCGTTTTATTAAGTATTGTTATAGTAAGGAGTGGATTTTCAGATTACAACTAATTCATAACTTTTCTTGGTGGAACTACCAGGAAGAGTATAACATTTTTATTAACTTTAATGTTTCATTTTATATATTCTTTGATGTGTTGGAAAATATGAGTACCTTTAACCACACTGCTTTTAACAGTAGCAAGCTTTTGTTTAATCCTTAGCCTGTCACAAAAGTCTTTTTTTTTTTGAGGTAGGGTCTCACTATGTAGTTCAGGCTGGCCTCGAACTTAGTATGATCCACTGGCCTCAGCTTTCTGAGTGCTGCAGTTACAGGCCTGTGCCACCATGTCCTGCCAAAAGGACTTCACTCTTAATTTCAACATAAAAAGCTTTCCTTTTACTCTATTCCATACACATTTATAAAAAGACCGCTGAAATTGTATTTTTATATATGACTAACCTAATAAATAGATCAATGTGGTTTGTCTTGCCTGTGAAGCATCAAAAATGAATTGTTGATTATAAAACATTTGGAAAGGTTACATAAGAAACAACTGAAGTACTCCATGAGGCACTCAGAGAAATAACCACTCTAGGGCCGTGGATGTGGCCCAGTGGCACAATGCCTGCCTGGCAAGCACGAGGTCCTGAGTTTGACTCCTGGTACCAAAAACAAAAGAAAAAATAGCCAATTTCCCTTATTTAAAATTAAAGATTTTGGCTGCAGATACTGAAGTTTTAAGTAAGCAATGGGAAAAGTAGCTTCAAGTAGAAAGAAACTGAATTTGTAACCCAAGCACTGTGGAAAAGTAAATCAAACTCAGGAAACATAGGCACATTCAACATGGAGGCCAGAAGTCTCATTTCCAAGTGGCTACTTTTAAAGAAGCTGTCCAAGCATCAGACACTAAAGCATAGGAAACTAACAGTTTGGGGTTCTGCCTTTTTCCATAGAATCTCTCAGTAAAATAAAGGAGAATGGGTAGTTGACAAAACACAGGGAGGAAACTTTAAACCATCAACTGAGATGAAGTATAACGCTGTAAACATGGACGGAGAACCCTGTCAGTGCTTCTGATGTGTGCGCTGATGAAGATTCTGACAGCAGTGCTCTTGGAAATAATCTTGATGCGCTGCCGTCTCGTTCCCGCAGAACGGAGCCAATTTAAGCTGCTGGAGTTTCTTGACATTCCTGCTCTGGCATATCTGAGTCAGCATCTTGTTGCTGCAGCAGCTTAATTAAATTTGCCAGTTTGTGCCACTAGGAGAGACATGTTCTCATATTCAGGGAGACAGCTGTGAAGCAGTATTGTTAAGAGTTGCGGACACAATATCGTTAGGTTTGCATAGCTCTCAAGACATTTTCTAGTGAGAAATCAATTTGCTGTAATACATTTCTTCCAAGATCAGCAGTTAATATTCATTTTGTTAACCTGAAATGTGCTTATTTTTATATAGTCGTTGGAGAAACCCTAGTAGCAAAATACGTCTTTTCACCTGTATTATTTTCAGAGCCAGGCAGAGCATCCTAATTTTAATTTTCACAATTCTTTTCCCATTAACTAAGCAGAGATCTTTTGATTAATTTTGTAATTCATAGTTCAGCTGTAAGAGAGTTGGCTTGAGTATTTTGCTGTATTGGGTGGCGGGGGGGGGGGCTGTTTTTCTCATACTGTTTTTAAGTTCTAGAATTTTTACCATACTTGTCCTAGTTGGATACAGTTGATAGGAAACAACTCAGTGCTTATTTTGGATCAGGCTGAACTCACCCTTTGTCTAGACATAGATCTAAATTTGTAATTTTCAACCTGACCTGGTCAGAACCCTCACACTTGTTATAAAAAATAAAATTGTAAGAAATAAGACACTTCTTAGGGCCAGGGATGTACCTCAGTGGCACAAGTACCTGCCTAGCAAGTTTGAGGTTGTGAGTTCGATCCCTGATACCAAAAAAATAAAAGGAAATTAAATTAGTAGCAAATAATTATCTCAGACTTAATTTTTTAAAATAATGTATCATAACTATATGAAATAAGAGGAATGATTTTTTTTTTTTGGTACCGAGGATTGAATTTAACGACCTCACACTTACCAAGAAAGCACTTGAGCCATTGAGCTAAGTCCTCGGCCCCAGGAATGATTTATAGTGAGTATTTAGTATAGAAATAGTTAAGTGCTATTACACTGGATGATGCACAGCAGTTATAGTAATGGGAGGAACGGCCTGGTCCAGTGGGAGAGTGCTAAGTGTAGTTGAGATCCCAAGGTTGTATTTAGAGCAGAAGGATAAAATTATGGCATAAAAGAATCGTAGACCATATAAAGGTGAACAGAATTCTGTAGGATTAGAATACGGAACAGGCCAGAACTATTTTAACAGTTGTGCAGGACACTGTAGCACATAGGCACCCCAGATTTCTTATTCCTGATACTCTTAACCCTCTTTGCTCATTTGTAACAATCCAGATGTGACTGTAGGTTCCACAATGCCCTAAAGAAAGGAGAAAGGCCCTGGTGATTAAGAGTCCCTGCTCTGTGTATTTCTCCTCCCTTCTCTTTCTTCTTAATTCCCAATCATGATGTCTCCAGGTGTCTTTTCAGGCATCTGTGGTACATTGTTTGGAAACCTAAGCTCATAGTAATCACACTGTACCGATAGCCATACTTACTCTCCTCTCTCGTTTATTTATTTGTCTGACCCACTTTGTCTTAAGATCCTGGGAGAGAGTTACTCTGCTTAATGTTTGTTGTATCTCCAGGATTTAGCATAGGCTGCCACGTGGACATATCAGTAAGTATTTTAATGAGTGGAATGGAGGAATAAAGAATGAATCAGCAGGTATCTGTCATTCTCATTAGTTTCCCTTCTCTGAGTTTGTGTTGCTTAATTTGAAGCCAAATCATAGTTACTGTGATTACAGTTGTAGAGGAAGTACAAGGAAATACAGCTTTTGGTACAATTTCCAATTATCTTACTGAAAATGTAGAAAACAGTAACTGACTAGCAAGAATAAAGAGAGATGGTCAAATGCCTTCATGAAGATGGTGGTAAGGTGATTTTTGAAAATTGAAGGTGGAATTTCATAAACAAGTCTGGAAACAAGTTCTCTATCCACTACTTTTCCTGCAGTGTTTCACGATAAATACACCAGGATTTTTCTTTTGTATCCATGAAAAGCATAGGGACATTCCCATGGGCTTAGCCTGCATACAACTAAGAAAGTTGTACAGCTTTTCTAAAACAACTACTGCTTCCATAAAATATGGCACACAATTGAAATTTTCTTCCTAATTCTCAAAATAAACAGAGGCCAGGAAATCTGGCATCTGTGAATTCATTAACTTCAAGTTTGCAACTCTTCTTTTCCTGCTCTTTTTAGCTTTTGTTCACTATAGCGTCTGATACCCCTTCCTAAAGAATTTAGGCATTCAAAAACAGACACCATTGTAATAAAATGTAAACATGAATGTAGTTGGAAACTGTGATTTTTCCTTCTGCAGTAAAGAGGGAAACTTCCGGTTTGAGTAAGTGGTATAGCATGGGTGTCTCCTGCTCTCTGTCAGGTAGTCAGAGGTAGGCGTGCAGTGTGGTTCTTCCCTGCAGAATGCGTAATCTACACTAAATGGTATACATCAAGATGCAGGTGGCAGAGGGAGGTAATAATCCGGAATTTACTCAGTTAATCATGCTGTATTCTCCCTTGTGATTGAGCATCATGAAGTGCCAGGATAGTAATCTCTCATGTGAAAAGCGCGTATTTGTAAATTGTTTTTTTTCTTTCCAGCCATGTAGGGGAAAATTTGAATGCCTCAGCAAGTTCTGTAGAAAATGAGCCGGCAGTTAGTTCAGCAGCTCAAGCAAAGGAAAATGTTAAAGCCAGAGTTGGAATGATTCTTCTTCCAAAGCCAAGAGTACCTTATCCTCGTTTCTCTCGTTTCTCACAGAGAGAGCAGAGGAGTTATGTGGACTTGTTGGTTAAATATGGAAAGATTCCTGCAAACTCCAAAAATGTTGCAATAAATAAAAATGAATACCTACAGTACTTGGTATGTATTCTGTTCTTCAGCTTCAGTAAAAAATAACTAAAAATCCGGAAAGAGTTTAAATTTTGTCTCATTACCTTAGCAGCATATTTACAGAAATGGAAAAGTAACATTTCATTGCTAGCACGTCTCTCCCCAGTTCATCTCAAGTACTGACAATAGAACTATATTTTATTTATTTATTTTTTGGTTCCTGGGGATTGAACTCATAACCTCGTATTTGTCTGGCAGGCGCCTGTACCACTGAACTCTATCCCCAGCCCCACAGTAGAACTGTATATAACTTATTGAGACTATTAAATGTGTGCTTAATTATGACTGTAATTAATATTCAACTATATAAATGATGCAATGCTGAAGCTTTTTTTAGCAAAATCTTCAGATCTGTTATTGTTTCCTTAAGGTAAATTCTTAAAAATAAAATTTCCAGATCAAAGATGGCATATTTTTAAAGCTTTGATCTGTAGTTCCATGTGGGCAAATTTTTCTATAAAAAGTTTAAACTTCTTTATTTGTATCGCAGTTGTATGAAAGTTTTCTTTAAAACTATTTTCTCTAATATCAGACAGTACCTTTTTTGTCTCTAATTGAACATGAGAAAAATAGAGATTTCTTATTTTACCTTAATTTGTGGTAATTACTAATTAAAATAAGCGTTTCCCATATCTATAAGCTACTTTCATTTCTTCTGTATCTTACCTACTCATATTGTTTGCTTGTTTTGTTTTGTTTTTAAATAAAATGTTTGTTAATTCCTATGTGTCTATTTTGGTACTAGTCATCTGTTTTTCTATTTTGAAGAATTTTTAAAGTTTTTTTTTCTTTTTGACTTCTGTGCTGGGGATTGAACCCAGGGCCTCATACATGCTAGGCTCATGCTATGCTGCTAAGCTACCATCCTAGTCTTGGAGTTTTTAATAACGTGTTTATTCTTACGTCATTATTATGATAGTCTTTGTTCTGTCTTTGTGTTTTTTGCTTTGAATTTGTTGCTTTAATTATTAAGTTCAAACTATTAGGGCATTAATTGAGAAATGATCATTTTCTAATGACATATTGTATTTCAAGTCATGTCTACTTTTTTTAAAAATCAGGATATGAGAAAACATGTAAATGAAGAAGTTAATGAGTTCCTGAAGTTTTTGCAAAATTCTGCAAAGACTTGTGCACAGGATTATGATATGCTGTCTTATGATGCTCGTCTTCTCACAGAGGTAAAAAAAAAATTACATTTTTGAAAACTGCCAAGTGTTAGACAGTGGCGCCTCCTAAAATGTGTGGCAATCCTGTCAGAGTCCAGGGAGCTGTCCCTGTTTTCAGTCCGGAGCACGGGTTACGCAAGGGCCCTTTATTCTTCTTACACTGAAACAAATACCAATGGCTGAAAATCATGTACTTCAGTGTAGTCTCACGTGTGGTTTGTATTTTTAATGATTCTCCTACCTGGCGCTATCTGCTTTCTTCCAGAGAGGGTGTGTTCTGAGCCCCTCAGTGGATGCCTGGGAAGGGGTGTAATAAGGAGCCCTGTGTACACTCTGCTTTTCCTGTACATACACACGTGTGATTATGTTTCATTTGTAAGTTAGGCACAGTAAGAGTTTAAAATAATCAGAGACAGAGAACAGTGATAACAGAGTTATGTGACTGTGGGGTCCCTCCCACAGTCTTTCTCCACCGTCCTCCCCTGCTGGTCCTATGATGGTGTAAGATGACCTGCGACCATCTTGTGTGCAGTGCCTTCCTAGGCTACTGCTAACTGTGTCGCTTGTGCTTGAGCATCAGTACTGCGATACTGTGGTGGTAAGTCTGGTAACTGAGATGGCTGCTGGGTCGGGTACTGGACAGAGGATGATCCTATTCCACACAGGATGGGGCATGAGATTTCGGTCACACTCTCAAAATGATGTAATTTAAAACTTCTGAGCTGCTTTTTTCTGGAATTTCCCTTTCAGTATTTTTTAGACCTTGATTGACAGCAGGTAACTGAAATTGTGGAAAGTGGAAACCACAGCTGAAGGCACTGCTGCTGTACTGCATATGATGTGCACAAGGGTAAAACTGTGTGGTGGTCTTTTGACTCTTGCAATACAGTGTTAAGAGAAATTCTGTTAAAGACACCACAGCATCAGCAGTTTCACCAAGAACCGTGTCCTAGTGAAATACCTAACCAGAGTGGTCTTGGCGTTACAGGGTTCCTTTGTATTGCTTTTACTTGTGTGTTCAGATTCTTGTAATGACTTTCATACAAGGGGAAGGTAAGTGGGGGGAATTTAGGCAGTCTTACAAATAAAACCTGCAAATACAGGTTTTTAGTTGACTAAGGTTTTGAAATATGACTACCAGGATTAGTACGAACAGTGTGAATGGAAGGAGAAAATACTAAAGATAGCAGGGGGCAGACATTAGAAAAAGGGAAAGAGGGATATGGAACTCAGAACAAAAAGATAAATGTGCTTATTGCTGAAAACTTGTAATCCAAAAAGTCAGGGTTGTAAGAGGTCAGGATAATAATGACAGAAGAAAACTGTGTATCTCAGAAGATAGTTTATAGGCGTGTTTAATTACAAACATTCCTTCGCCAGTGCCATGCTTCTCTGAGTTATTTACATATTATTACAAGTGATGTATATTCTTTTGGGGTAGCTGTGGGTGTTCCTTCCTTCCTGATTACATTTCCTGGTAAGTCATTAATATTTGGAAAGCTGGAGACAAGAGAATACTAAGTACTTCATCATTTGAATTAGTTTTAAATTCTCATTTATTTTTTAGATTGTAGATTAGAATAACTTATAAAATAACTATTAATTCATTGTGCTTAGAAATCATTTTAGAGTATTAAACTTATTTATTGCTAATTATATAATTGCTTTTATTGCAATGCACTATGTTGAAATTTTCATGTGGCTTTATTTCTTTGACAGCTTCTTAAATAGCAAACCAAATGTGATATGTCTTCACTATTTAATTTTAAATTTTAATAAGTGCTAATTTTAGTGTATTATTAAGTATCAGTATTTTAGGAAATTAGGTTAAAAATTTGTTATGAAAAATAAAAGATTATATCAAGTAAAGGATATTCAGTATGCCTGAACTGTTAGAAGCTTGAATAATACAACAGTTAACTTTGCAATCAATAATTACACAGTCCCATATGTAACTAAAATATTTTGATGCATTGTTAGTAAAATACAGTACAAATATGATTTTCCTTAATTTTTATTTTCTAGCAAATTTTGAGAGCTTGCATTGAACAAGTAAAAAAGTATCCAGAATTTTATACTCTCCATGAAGTCAACAGCTTAATGGGGTTCTTCCCATTCAGAATAGAGACAGGATTAAAGTTAGAGAAAACCCTTCTTGCACTGGTAAGCTTTATTATGTGAAAGTATAAGCTTTTGTTGGTCTAAAATGTCATCTGTATTTCATATAGATATTATTTTATGTTTAAATTTTTGAGCAATAATGAGATGACTTTGAATTACGTAGCCCAAATCTGTGTCCCGGTCCTTTCATTTTATGGATATTAATATTTGACCTTTTAAAAATAAGACTGCTGCCTGTATTCCTTGATTATCTTCCCATTTTCTGTAATGCTTCCGAATAGAAGCAGGAAGCCTTCTTTGTGTAAAAAAGGTGTATTAGCAAACATAAATGACATGATGAAGAGAATGTTTTAGGGGTTCTACTATTCCCACCTGAGTTTTATGCTTCCTAAAAAGAGAAGATGGAATTTAAGGGGGCATGGTAATTTCCATGAAACCCTTCTCTTAGACCTTTAAAAAACAAAACAAACAAAAATTAGCGAGGACAAGCAAAGCCAAGAATGAGCATCTTGGCTAAAGGAAGGTTCTAAACTTGACATTTATATTTAGTAGAATAATAAATTACACTTGAGTGTCTAACAATCATTTTTTGTTTGTTTAGGGCAGTGTAAAATTTGTGAAAACAGTATTCCCCTCAATGCCTGCAGTAGTGAAGCTCTCAAAAAGTATTATGTCTCCCCTGGAAAGTCCAGAGCAAATAGCTGAAGCTATGCACTATGTAAGTAGCATGGTGGTTTGAGGCTTTCTAAATGATCTGTACCTCACAAAAATATAACCAGAGGGTTCTAAAGTCACCTAAAGTTCCCTTTCTCCCTTTTTTTCATTATGTTATCAAATTTTCAGTGGCTATAATAAAGTTACAAGTTACCCATTGTTTTTCAGGATATTAGTAGAGATCCAAATGCAGAGAAGCTTGTTTCAAGATACCACCCTCAGATAGCTCTGACAAGCCAGTCACTGTTTACCTTATTAAATAATCACGGACCCGACTACAAGGAGCAGTGGGAAATTCCAGTTTGTGTTCAAATTATACCTGTTGCAGGTTTGTGACTTACTGTATCAAATAATGCTCTTAGAAAGAATGTGGGAGCTGGGTGTGGTGGCACACGCTTACAATCCCAGCACTACTGGAAGCTGAGGCAGGAGGTTCACAAGTTTGAGCCTTTACCTCGCCAATTTAACAACACAGTTGGTCTCAAAAAAATAAAGGATTGTTGAGGAGGGCAGTGAGTGTAATGTGAAAGCTCTAGGTTCAATCCCCAGTACCCAAAAAAGGGGGAAAAAACATTGGAACTACATCAGGTATCTAAATATAGATGTATTTGTCAAATACAAAGTCTCAGTCTTAGAAAGCAGATTTAACCTTTAAACTCAGAATTTGAGCCAGGCATGGTGGCTCACTCCCGTAATCCTGACACTTGGGAGGCTGAGGTAGGAGGATCTCCATGAGTTCAAGGCTAACTTGGGCTACATGGTGAGCTCAAGGCCAGCCTAAGCTACATAGCAAGACCCTGACTCAAAAAACACACAAAACAAAACAAAACCAAAAACCTCAAAATTTCCAGATACGTAGCTGCTACAGAATAGCCACTGCTAAATGAAGTGTTAGGTCTGTAGTACCTTCAGTCCAGCGAGGAGGTGAGAGAGAGGTAGTTATGACTGAGGCCCGAAGTATGAGAAGTGCTGAGGTGCTGCTTCTGTCTTTCTCCGAAATAAGCATGCTGCAGTTCATTAGACAACCTCAAATGGTTGAGGTCCAGGACTTACTCGTCTGTTGTTGGAAATCAGAGTTAAAATACATTCTGATCTGTCTTTCAGAATTAGTATTCTTAAGTATAACAAACATAAATACAATAAACAAGTTTACTGAAATTTAAAGAGGTAAGAGTTAGAGGTACTGCATTTTCTATGGCAAAAATATCACTTCCTACAAACTGAGTAAGAATGATGTAAGACTCAGCAAGGAAAGCCAGAAATCAGGTGTGATGGTGCATGCCTATAATCCCAGCACTCAGGAGGCTGAGGCAGGAGGATTACTTCAACTTTGGGCCAGCCTGCACTTCAAAGCAAGAACCTGTTGGGCCGGAGATTTAGCTCAACAGCATAAGTGCCTGCCTTTCAAGTGTGTGGTTATGAGTTCGATCCCCAGTACCAAAAAAAGAAAGAAAAAAGAAAAAACCCTAGAAAATAAATAGTGAACCTTGTTAGAAAACAGTTTGGTTATCAGTTTAGTTCTCTTGTCCTTACTAGAAGGTAAAATTTAACATTAAATCTAGAACTTTTTCAGATATAACATTGCTGCAGAATTGACTTTGAAAGGTTTTTAAGGCACTTTAAAATCTTCCAGTCAGAGAGTACCAAAGCCATGAGGCGGGTGTTCCTTTTCCCTGGCCTTGTGTCTCTTTCCATCATGACCCTTCTATCACATATACATGTTTTCTAAGAAATAAAACAGGTGGATCCTAATCACCCCTGTTTTCTGTTTCTATTTTAAGGTTCCAAACCAATTAAAGTAATTTATATTAATTCCCCGCTTCCTCAGAAGAAAATGACAATGAGACAGAGAAATCAAATTTTCTATGAAATTCCATTAAAATGTATGATGTCCAAAAACACATCTGTGCCAGTCTCTGCAGTGTTTATGGACAGACCTGAAGAGTACATATCTGAAATGGACGTATGTAATTTTTTTCTTTTTCTTTAGAGGAAAACACTTTTAACTTTTGAAATGTAAAATTTTATTGCAAATCTCTAAACTTAGTAGTTTAAAACTAGTCTTCAACTTGTCCATGTACTGAAACATTACCTGGTACACTGTTAATATGTTCAATTTTTATGTGTTTGTGTATCACATAGTATTTCTCCTTAGTCAGAATGGATGTGATCAAAAAAGATAAAAAGGGTCAGGATGCAGAGAATGGCAAGGCTGTGCTGCTGGAAATGTAAATTGGTACAGCCACTCCAGAAAAGAAGATGTAAGCTCCTCAAGAAAATTAGAAATAGAGCTGCCACCCCATCCAGTCCCATTTCTGGGTCTGTATTCAGGAGAAATGAAAACTGTGTCAGAGAGTTACTGGCATTCTCATGTCTGTGCCATTCAGAAAGGCAAGAGCCAGACTCAGATGTGGACATCCTCATGTGGGTACACATTTAGAAACCCTGTGCACAGGCTCGTTGGGGTACTCCTCAGCCTCCGGAGAGGAGGCACTCCTGTCATTCACAGTAACCAAGATGAGCCCAAAGATCATATGTTAAGTAAAACAAGCCAGACCTAGAAAGATGAATACTGCATGTATTTACTTCTGTGTGAAACCTAAAAGTGCTGGGCTCCTAGGAGTAGAAAACAATGCTGGTGAACAGAGGCCAGGGAGGGCTGGGAGAGATGGGTTAGCAGGTACAAAGTGGGCCAGATAGAAAGAAGTTCTAGTATTACTCTGTTACACAGCATGGGGTTATAGTTAATACTATATTTCATAATTCAGAAAACCAGAAGAGAAGAATTTCAGTAGTTCCACCACAGACAGACCTGGTAACTGTCCGAGATGATGGATGATCTGTGTTTCCTTAGTTGATCAGTACATTGTGTATGAAAAGGCACCAGAACATTACCCATACCCAATAAAGATGCACTATCTATCTGCCCAATAAAAATAAAACCTTGCTTTTCTGTAATGGAAATTACATAAAATTTTATATGTGAAAGACTCATTCACATAAATTTAAAATCTCATAACCAAGTCCTTTTTTGACTTCCAGAAGTTACAAATCAGACAAAATAGATAATACAAGGGATGGTCCAAATATACCGTGTGTGTGTGTGTGTGTGTGTGTGTGTGTGTGTGTGTGTGCGCGCGCGCGCATGCACATTAAGTTAAAATTTATTATGGTAAAAGACACAGTTGTTAATCTCTCTCTCAACCCTCCCAATCTCCTCCCACCCCTGGCTTCAGGCACATTTATCTGTTGTTCTTGCCACTTTTCAGAGCAATTCTGGAGGTCCCTTTCATGAGTGTCTTTACAAGGCGTGACCAAAAGAAGGGTGACCGGCACAGAAGGGTGCAAGGGTGTCCGCATCCACCTTCCTCTCCAGATGCAGCCCCTCCCCAGAGTCACAGTGACCAGGAAAGGGAGACATTCAGAATTGATTGAGGACGTTGAGGCAGCCAGGACAGCACAGCTAAAGACACTGACCAAGGGGGACTTCCAGAACTGCAAGAACAAAGAGTAATGTGTGTTTGAAGCAGGGGAATATTTGGTGGGAGGATTAATGCTTTCGCTGTGACAAATTTTTAATTAAAACATTCACCATAGTTTTCAACCATGCCTCATATTCCTAAATAAAGGAAAGTCATGAGTACTTTTTCCATGACCAAACTGTGTCTGGAAAGAGACAGCGAAGTTTTGTTTCCGTACGCAGTACAGGGTGGCCCGTTGTCATCTGCCCTCTCTGACATGGCTAAGACTTGTTTCCCGAGTAGATAAAGAGAGGAGCTCACTGCCGCCTGGAGACTTCCGCTAGCCGCAGTAGAAAGCAGCTTCCCAGCAGCGGCAGAGCTTCTTCTGTCCTGGTCAGTGAGCGCCAGTGTCTCTGCAAGAATCTGCTGAGTGGGTGTGCATGAAAACCTGCTGCTGGCCTGTGCAGCCCTCCATTCCTCTTTGGTAGTACTGTCCTTGTTAGTGTAAATTCCTCGGGGTACAGTGGCTTGCAGTTTACTATTCTTTGTGCTGTAACAACTTGGAAATTTTGTATTTTCACCAACATTTCAATAAGAAGGTGAGGTTGAGTGAGTGCTAGTAGTTTGTTATCATCTTGTCATTACACTAGGACCTTAAATTTTGGCTGCCAATTTAACAATGTGTTTCTTCCAAGACATCCAGTGAAGTTAATGAGTACCGAAAAATCGAGACTCTGGAAAATTTGGATCTAGATTTTGATGATGATGTCACGGAACTTGAAACTTTTGGGGTAACCTCTACAGAACCACCCAGGTCACCTGGTACAGCAAGTACTTGCCCAGCACCCATTGTGACAGATGCACTCCCAGCCTCCAGAGCAGCTAATGCCCCCGTGGCACCAGCTGTCACAGGCACCTCTGCTAATTCCAGAAGTTTGTCTCGGATTCTGATGGAACAGCTGCAAAAGGAGAAGCAGCTGGTCATCAGTATGGAAAGTGGCCCTGAAGAGCGTGAAAAGAAAGACAGTCAGGGACCTGGACCACATGGTGAACAGGTGGCCACGCCCAGCAAGGCTACGATGCTAGAGAGTGACCTGAACACACCTGAAATCTTACAGGTGGGAAGTTCCAAGGAGGTTGAAAGTGCTGATGACAGTGACCTGGCTGCAGATGTGGAGTGTGCCGATGGCGAAAGGCTAAATGTCCTAGAGGACAGGGACGACTCAAAGGAAAAGCCCGGTTCCGCAGACACAGCTGGAATGGAGAAAGGAATTCCTTGCAGTAGTGATACTGACGAGGACTGTTTAATCATTGATACGGAGTATAAAAACAGCAGTGACGGAAAAGCAGCTGTTTCAGGCTCTCATGTGAGTTCTAAACCAGCAAGTCCGAATTCTTCCTCAGAAAAGGGTTCTGTGGGAAACCAGACTAGTGCTACTCACAGTTCTGAAGAGTGTGTTTTAAAAAAACCAATCAAACGAGTATATACAAAATTTGACCCAGTTGGACAAATTTTACAAATGCAGACAGAGCTCTTAAAGCCAGTTTCCAGAAAGGAACCTGAAGTACTCCTAAGGAATTCAGAAAATCCTAAACAGCCCCCCGTTTCTGAGCAATCCTGTGCTCCTTTACATACCAGTAGTTGGCCAAGATCTGGCTGGCCTTCCGCCTTTCAGAAGCCAAAAGGACGTGAGTATTTTTCCACTGTTTTATCTGTTTCTTTTTAGCTTTTTCTTGCTCGTTCTTCCTTGTAACCTATTTTATAATCATCTAGTCGTTAATGTTTCATTTTCTAGTGATCAGTGATCAGTGTTTCGGCTTCCAGAATATCCTCTCTAGAAGTCCTGTGTCTGTGCAGCGGGTATAGGGGCTGTTGAGCTGTGAGCTGGGTCATGAGTTTGCCAAGCTGATGAAGAGGAAATGCATCAATATAATGATAAACACTGATTCCTCCAGAATGCACTTCTACTGCACACTGCACTGCCTTTTGTACTTCTCACACCTACCTAGATTGGGAATATAATCTCTTTTTAAACACCTTTCTCTGCTCACACGATGTGCTGTGTCACTAATTTATGCTTTGCCTAGAGTTCGTGAAGGGAATCTCTAGCAGGAAGAGAACCTCCTCACTGCAGTCTCTGCACAAGTAAAGAGGAGTGGTGGTAACACAAGCATTAAAAAGTAGCTAGAAGGAGTAGAAAGTTACTATTGATAGAAGTTTTAAAAAAGGTTGTTTTATCCTGTATTATAGAAAAGGCTAATGCATTTTAAAGTAAAAATGGGATTATTTTTAAAGGATTGCCATATGAACTTCAGGACTATGTTGAAGATACATCAGAATATCTGGCTCCTAAAGAAGGAAATTTTGTTTATAAGTTGTTCAGCCTGCAAGACATACTGTTGCTCGTACGTTGCAGTGTCCAGAGGATAGAGACAAGACCGCGATCTAAAAAACGGAAGAAAATCCGAAGAGTAAGTCGTTCCTCAGGGAGTTAAGATGCATAAGTGGGTAATCAAGAAATGTGTCACTTTCCATTATTATGGAGTTTAATTTTAAATTGTTACGTCACTCCTATTTCCAAGTTAAATATTTTTGTAAAATACTGAGATGAATTTCAGTAAGAAAAGCCATTTAATTGTGTGTGTCTCATATGCTGTTAACATTTTCTCGGCCACCGTACACACTTTATGAAAATGGCCCTGTGGTAGGTGACCCAGACGGGGCACAGCTTCCGTTTAGTGTGCCAGTTCGTCTTTCCATCGAGACTCATTTACAGACAGACCTGTGAGGCCTTTGCTCACTCTCCGGGGCTGGCTGCTCTTGGATTGTTTCAGAAGTATGAGTTTTGAAAGATGACCTTTTGTAGACATTGAAGTGTATACAGGATTGTCAGAGATCAGATCTTTAAACTGTGTTTCATTTGGAGTTTGATATAAACATTTTCCTCAGATTAACAGAAATGTGTATAGTTTGAGTCATTGCTTCTTTCAGCAGTTTTCCATGTCATAGTTTATATTTAAAGTTCCCTTTCAGAGCTTACATTTTTGTGTATCACTACTGAATTCTTACAAAGTAGAACTTCAGTGGTAGTGATTTTGTCTTTACTTTTTCCTTAAGTGCATTTTTTGTTGTATACAGTGGTATAGTGCACTTTAAAAAAAAAAAATTGTGGTATATGTCTAAAACCTCTGCCCTGAAAGAGTCATCACGAGCACCTTGTAATGTGTTGGAATGGGGATTAGGTGCATCAACAGCAGAGCCAGCCGCGCCCTGATCCCTGTAGGGTGCCCCCTGACTGCTGTGGCCTGGTGAAGAGTAACTGCAAGCAGGGCAAAGAAGGCCGCCCTGCGCACACTGCTCATCACAGCAGCACAGCCTGACTGTGCGGGGAGACGCCAGGCCTCACCATCCACGTCCAGGTTGTGTGCTGTGGGCACAGGACTCCAGGGGCTTGGGGCAGTTTTGCTTTGTTTTTTTAACAGAAAGGGGAAATTTTTATTTAAATGGTGTAGTCCTAATTTCTTTAAAACTGATGAAAATGGAGTTTTATATTGGTAGAGTTTTTTGGTTATAATAGTTTTATCCTTTATTAAGTAGAAGAAACATTGACTAAAACTAATTATTAAAATCCTAGTTCTCAGAATTCATTTTTCATTATAATTCAAACTTGAAATTCTAAAAACCAAATGGTTTTGAATTAAATGTATGGAGGAGCACTTGTATTTATTTGGGCAGAACTAGAGATCAACCCAGGGCCCTCATGCATGCTAGGCAAGTGGCATTAGTCTCCTGCTAGATCAGTGCTGCTGTTCTCTGTATTAGATTATACTTTGTCACTGTTTCCTGCCTCACCTGTATCTCACTATGATAAACTTAATCACCTTAGGTGTGAGTACTTTGAGTACATGCAGTATCAATAGTATAGGTTGTGTTTTTAAGGTTTTATTTCTATAACTCTTACTGTTTCATTTATTGGAGTTAACCTCCTTGCTTCCTTTCTTTGTTTCTTTTTTCCTTCCTTCCTTCTTTTCTGGAGTCTCTCTATGCAGCTCAGGCTGGGCTTGAACTCACTGTGTAGGCCAGGCAATTCCCCTTGCCTCAGCTTCCTGAGTGCTAAGATTACAGATGTGTACCACCGTGTCCAGTGGCCTCATTGCTTTATTTCTTAGCACATGAACCCATGCCACTTTGTATTTTTCTTTTAGCCTGTGGTCCAGTGATGGGGATCCCATGGCACATGTGCTGCAGAGGGCTGTTCGTATCATTACAGGCTCTAAAAGGTTCGCCATCCTGACTGTGGTGCGTAGAAATTGTTTATGGCCAGTGTCTCTTAAGAAAGAATAGCTTAGGTAAATTTTGGATACTGATTTACGTTTGGGTTTTTGTGTGTCTGACTTACTTCACTTAACACTCTGGTTTCAAGATACATCCATTTTTCTGTAAATAACTCATTTATCTTAGGACAGAGCAGAACTCTGCTGTACATACATACCACATTTTCTTTATCCGTCCAGCTGTCTGTTGATGGACATACAGAAGTGTCCAAGATTCAGCGATTACAGGTAGCGCTGCTATAAATGAGGGTGTGTGTGCCACTGTGGGATCATGTCTTTAGCTCTCCCAGGAGGATACCTAGAAAGGAGATGTCTGGCTCAAACGGGATTTGTAGATTTCATTTTGTGAGGAATCTGCACACTGATTACTGTAGTAATTGTACTAGTTTACATTCCTACCAACAATGTAGAAGGGTTCCTTTTGTCCCCGGCTTTACTACCATTTGTTATTATTTGATTTCTTGATGATAGCCATTTTTTCCAACAATGGCATCTTCATGCTGTTTTCATTGCATGTCTCTGATGGAGGCGTTGAACATTTTTCAGCTCATTGGCCCTTTGTTCTTCTGAGAAGTGTTTCTGCATTTCATTGGCTGTTTCTCAGTTGGGTCCTTTATTGGGGAGGTAATTTTTTCTGAGTTCTTTATTGTATCTACCTATTCTCTGGCATCTTAGCTCCTCATTCTGTAGGTTGTCTCTTCACTCTGCCATTGCTTCCTTCGCTGTGCGGGAGCTTTTTAATTTGATAGGACCTTGTGTATTGTTCTTGGTACTGTTTTTTGTGCTGTTGGGCTTCTGATCAGAAAGTGCTTGCCTGTACCTTGGACTTGTTCAGAAATGTTACCTGTTTTATGTTCTAACAGATTGTGATTCTGTTTTAATATTTAGATCTTTGATCCATTTTGATTTGGATACTGATTTTATTTTGAACAAGATAATTTGATAAGGACATTGTCATTCACTTGACTAAAGTGACATTTGTTAGCCGGGTTTAGTGGCACACACCTGTAGTCCTACTACTCAGGAGGCTGAAGCAGGAGGATCCCTATGAGTTCAGGCCAGTCTGGGCTATGTTATAAGTTCAAGACTAACCTGAACTGCATAATGAAACCCTTCTCTAAAGAGATAAATAAATGGTAGAAGTCTGTAACTTGGATGTTGAAGGCCATCTGCCCTTCGCTGTCCCTTGCCGCTTCAGTTCTGTGCTGTCATAGGGAGTTTCACTCCCTCCCTCACGCCCCACCCTCATCAGATCTCTGCTTGCTAAGAACCGCATCTAAGAGGAGAATGAAGGCAGCAGCCAGGCCCAGTGATGGGTGAAATGAAGAGGTTCAGTGGGACAAGCTGGCATTTACTGAAATGAGGGAATTTATGTGCAATTATGAAACCTAGACAGCATGATTTTGGGTTACCCGTATCATTACTGTCTGTCACAGTTAACTACCATTCTGAGTGCTGTGTTCTGAAATTCAGATGCAGCCATTTAACATTTGTATTGGCACCATGGGTCAGAAAAAAGGGTGTGGAAGGTGCTAAATGTTAGGAAGAAGAGAGGTACTGTTAATGGGATTGATCACTGTAAAATACCTATTTAGGAATGTATGTAAAGTTTTAAGGAGCTTATGTGAAAAATTGGAAGACAAATTCAAAATCTTACCAGAAGAGAATAGACTAGGAGCTATCAGAGAGAAAATGAAATACTGAATTTAATTTTTATGGTATAAAAACCTTATCTGGTTGTGATGGTGCATACCTGTGTAACAGCCGCACTCCAAGGAGGCTGAGGCAGGAGGATACAAGTTCCAGCCCAGCTCGGGCCACTTAGTGAATTAGTGAATCTTCCAAAAAAATTGTTTTTTAAAGGGCTGGGGATTTAACTTAGTGTGAGGGCCCTAAATTCCCCAGTACTAAAGAAAAAGTACTAAAGAAAAAACTAAATTTTCACTTCAATGTTATAGTACTGAGAAAAGAAAATATTCAGGGCTAGTTAGGTGTGGTGGTGCACACTTGTAATCCCAGCACTTGGGAGGCTGAAGCAGGAGAATCATTGCAAGTTTGAGACCAGCTGGGGCTACAAAGTGAGCTCAAGGCCAGCCTGAACTGCATAGTGAGACCCTGTCTCAATAAGACAAACCCCTCAAAATAAAATATTCAAGGCTTCATTTCCCATGACTTCCTGGAGGTGGCAGTAGAATCCATATAGAAATTAAACCTGGCGATAGGATTGTTTTATAGTGTTATCAAAGAAAATCCCCCAAAGTACTTATTTTTTTACTGTTTACTTTTCAGAAACAGTATACATTTTAAGTTAAAAATGAGATCTAACTCATTATTCATTCATGATCCAGAAAAGAGATTGATTCATCAATTTTGTTCCAGTTCTACAGTAAATATCCTAGAAACCAATTTCTTAACACTCCAGTCCTTCAGTTCTTTAGCTCCCATTTACAGTGAGGTGATTTTTATTATAAAATTATCCTAATATAAGCTTTGCTTCCCAGGTTCTAGCTTTGAACATTTGGACAGTCTTCTATGTTCCCAGGACGCGGTGTCGGTCGAGTTTGTTGATAAAGTGTACACACACGTAGAAAGGTGTGTGGGTTTGTTTGGGAGGGATAATGCCAAGGGATCTCCTTTATTTCTCTACTTCTCACCTGCGTGGCCCACCCAGGGTTCTTGTATCCATCAGGTTTAAGTGTAATTCTGTCTGAAACCTGCTCTGTATGAAAGGATGAAGTAAGATTACTTGAAAGCTGCAAAGCTATGTAGGCAAATGTGTTTTCTGTTAATGGTAAATGAACAGAGCTTTGAAAAAGTCTAATCTTGCATCGCAGCAATTTCCGGTTTACGTACTGCCGAAAGTGGAGTATCAGGCTTGTTACGGAGTTGAAGCTTTGACTGACAGTGAACTTTGTCGCTTATGGACTGAAAGTTTATTGCATTCTAACTGCTCATTTTATGTTGGTAAGTGTAACAGGAGTCTTGTCCTCCTTTTTAATTCCCTTGTAAATACGTACATTTAAATTCAATTGTAAACACTTTCATTGTGTACTTTTTTCAGTTTTGCTTGTGTTGTTTCTGTTAAACCACTTCCTACTTAAGAATTAAATGGCAAAGAAGAGTTAGTGATAATTAGATGTTTCTTACTCTTTAGGTAGGAATACATTTTAAACACTACTTTAAGAGCACCTGAGGCCTGTGTTGTTTTGTTTTTAATATGATAGTGAGAAAATCACTGCAGGGCTTATGCGGGTGCACATCCCAAACTCCGTTCCGATAGACCTGGCTTAGGATGGAGGCTTTGCCTTCCTGCCCTGCCGCCTGTGCACATCTCATACCATAGTCCTCGCGGTGCTGATCCCCTCTTCCAGGGACCGTGTTTTGAGTAGCACTTTTATAGTTCATAGTCTCTCTTTCAGGGAAAAGAAACACACTCGGTTTTTGTTTATTTCCTTTGCTGTGCTTTAAACAGGTTCCCCTCTTTGCCTTGATAACAGTACATTTTTATCCACTTGCCCTGTAACATTCAATTTATTCCTTTTAGAAAATTTCCACAGTAGTCTCATCACAACTTGTGCTCTATCCTTCATTCCTAATCTCTGTATTAATTCCATGTAGTCACCACATACAGGCAGTGCTCACTTTGCAGTTTTATAAGCACAAATTTCAGTTTTGACTGAACATTAATGATGAGTAAGGCCAGATAGGGTGGCACATGCCTATAATTCCAGCACTTAGGTTGAGGCAGGGGAGCCGCTGAGAGTTTGAGGCCAGCCTGGACTGCAAAGTGAGTGCAAGGGCAGCCTAAACTGCATAGTGAAATTTGTTTCAGAAAGACCAAAAAAAGAGGCAGGGAGAAAATGGATCGAGAGCTTTCTCTGCAGGCTCTTCAGTCCACTGATCACGACCTCAATTACAGACGTACAGCGTGATCCACAAACCCATGTGGTATTTTATAACAGAGACAGTCAAAAGAGGGAATCGGCCAACAAAATAAAGCCATAAAACAAAAAGTAATACCGTTGTAAATCAACTCTGAACCAAACATGCGTCGAGTTAGAGAAAATATACCTGACAGAATGTTGGTGAACCCTCCATGCCTGAGACTAGATTTGCTGCCAGAGGAACTTGGCAAAGCCTCCCTTATAACATAAATGAGGGAAAAAGCAGTTGTGACCTAGAAGATGAAGAAGTGGCACCAGCGTAACATTTTCCATTAGCGGAACCCTGGAGAGAGTTCCTGACAGGGCACAGGATGTCCCACTGGGGCTGATCCCGGGTTAGGAAAGAGCACAGCGATTCAGGGAGGTGGAGAAACGCACCTCTTTCCTACGAGGAGCTGTGTAGGAAAGCAGAAAGCGCTGTCTACCTCCTCCCGGTAGGGTTTCATTTCACTTTTCACTTTCTATGTCTCTTATGCGCCAATGACACCAGCGTGTCCCGCCCACAGTTACATGTGCCCTTGCATAACTAGTAACAGCCTTCTGATGGTGTTTGTCACGTGCACAGGTGACAGCAGGTTGCTGTGCGGGAGCCGCATGGTAGCTGGGGGGGTCAGTGCGTATGCGCTGTCCCTGCGCTCACGTGACATGGCCGGTACAGTGCAGTGATGACTGCTCGTAGCATTTCACTGTTACTAATCCCATCTATAAACATCCTCATTGTTAAACTTGGACGTGTGCTATTTCATAAAATAATCAGGTAAAATGTTAAAACGTAAGTGGATGTGGTGGCACGTATCTATAGTTCTAGCTCTTGGGAGGCGGAGCCAGGAGGATCACAAGTTCAAGGTCAGCCTGGGCTACATAGTGAGACCCTGGCAAACAAAGGGAGGGAGAAAAAGAAAAGAATGCTTTGGTTATATTTTATGTGTGGCCCAAGACGGTTATTTTTCATTCAAGCAAGCCAAAAGGTTGAGTACACCATGGTATACTAAATAAATATCTTATTATTGTTTCATTTCCCTGTAAATTTATAACTGAGGGAAAGTGAGTTTTCCTGCTGATTATGGAACACGCTGGCATGGTCTCAGCCACGTAATTGTGTTTGTGCACTTCATAAAGCAGGGTGTGTGTATGTACTTATGAATGCGTACATATTAAAGGCTCTCTTTGTGCTATATGGTGTACTCCCAACTCTGACACAAGTACTTCTGTAGCACGCTATAATATCAGAGACCGCCAGCGACTCAAGGCGGTGGTCAGAAAGCCGAAGTATCCCCGGAGCGTCTCAGCCACCCACAGGCTGAGGAGAGTCTCAGGTGCACCTCCCCTGGAGAAGCACAGGTCGCGGTCTCCTTGACAAGGGAAGGCCCTCATGGCACTTAATAAGGTGTTCTCCAAATTGTTATCTTTTCCACAGACTGTGTGTGCTGGGTGCTATAACAAACTTCTTGTTGAATTTCTTTTAAAAGGTGAGGGCTGATAGTCTCCTCAAGGCTTATTAATAAGCATCTAACAATGTACTGTACTTAATACCTTTCTGTAGTTGTTAAGCCATTAAACTACATCTTTGTTATTAGAAACGTATGAAGAGTGTTAGCAACTCAGAGGTGAAATTAAAACTTGGCATAAGAAATACTGAGTGGGTGTGGGAACAAATGGGTTTGTTGTCTTAAAAGAAGGCATCTGGTAAAAATGTTTCTAATTAAATTCACTGAGCATAAAGCAAAGGAAATTAAAATGGGTTGGATGTGAAAATGAGGTATTATGCACATTTTCATCGGCCCTCAGGATGATTGATACCAGCTTGCTAGGTAATTTGTTTTGTCAGCCACATATTAGGAGTTTAAAAATGAATCCATGAGCTGAGGCTGGGGCTGGGGCTCAGTGGTAGGATTCTTGCCTTGCATACACAAGGCCCTGAGTTTGATCCCCAACACCACAGAAAGATTTAAGAAAAAAAAAAGTCCCCAAACAATGCCATTCCGGCCTGGTAAGTGGTTTGTTCCACCTCCGGGATTTGGACCAGAGCGCAGAGTGTGCTGTGGGCTGACTCTGGACCGGTGCTGGACTCAGGGCTGTGTCCTTGTCACTCCACAGTGTGTCTGCACACAGTGTCCCAGCCTGTTTCATTTCAAATGTGCACATTACTTTTTAAAACAGAATGGTCGTTTTGACAACGTGCTGCTTTGTTTTCTCTGAAATTCTATATTCTCATCGTGCTTATACAAAAATAAGATTTTAAACATGGGAATCTTACTGTGTACTTTAATTAAAAATAAGAAGCCATATTTATAATCTAATTTTTATTTTAAAAACTACGTATGTCTTAGGTATTGAGCATATCTAGTCTATAAATTTGTTGTTTTAGCAACTTGTTTTAATAATAAATATGTATTTCCTTAAAAAAAATTGCATGAATCTGAGTATGTGGCTCAGTGACAGAGCACTTGCCTAGCACAAGCAAGGTCCTGAGTTTAATCCCCAGCACCACAATAAAATAAAAATAAAAGTAAATCTTAAAATAACCCCATAAAAATGCAACATTTCTAAAATTGGAAACGCTAATACTAAATAGCTGCAATTCTTAAATTGGAGTGTTAGACATTATGTTGTATGTGTGGACATGTGTCAGCTTCTCTACATTCAGAAAACATTTTAGAATAACTCCATATTTCTTTTATGGTTTGTTATTTTAAGATATTACTTTGCTCCAAAGAGGTAATAATATGTCTCCTTTTGGAATATAAAATTCCTTTACAGTTATTTATGAAAAACACTTTTAAGGAGACTAAATAGCTTGATGGAGTTTTGTTTTTTAAATACTATGACTGCCTTTTTTAAAAGCATGATATTTTATTTTAGGACATATTGATGCATTTACTTCAAAGCTTTTTCTGCTAGAAGAAATTACCTCTGAAGAATTAAAAGAGAAGCTTCCAGTACCCAAGTAAGAAAGTTTGCTTTGTGGTAGGAATTGAAAAAACTTGTTAATGTACTCACTAATTTTCCTTTATATCTAAATATTAAGTTAAAATAATTTGCTTTTAACGCTTTTGATCATCTCTTCTATCGAGACTTCTCTGACCCAGCTTGGAATCCATCCATACTCATTTCCCCCATTTCCAAACTGAATATAGTACTACTGTCACAGTCTTTCTGCTTAGCACAGGGGAGACTGAAGCTGGAGTAGCTCCCGCCTTCAGCGCATTGGGCGCATGCATTCTGCCCTGGTGAGAGCAGGCAAGGCCAGGGCAGGCGTGGATTTCAGCTCACGATGGGATGTACTGAGTGGACAGTTCTGTCCAGCATTCTTGTACATCAGAACTAACGGAATTTATTGCACTCAGAACTGTTGTGTGCTCAAAGGAAAGGTGATTTATGAATATTATCTCACTTGTGCCTCGCAACTCCTTGTGAAATGCTGGTCTGACATTCCTTCACTTTATATATGAGGAATCCGAGACTGTAATGGCTTGGCCCAGAGCAGACAGCTGCACTGGTGCCAGAACAGCCCTGGGAGTTAATGCTTCACTTACTGCAGAGAGTGAGAGATCATCTGAGCTTATAGTAGCTGTGTTATTTCCAGTTTTGAAACAGTTGTTTAACAGTTCCAGACTCAGGCTTACTCTCTGCTCGTACTTAATATGTTCACTTCTTTTTCTAAGAATTGCTTCTCTGTGCCGGTTCCTTTTTTACATATGTGAGTAGAAAAGCTCTTCATCCTCTGCTCAGTGCCTGCCTCTGTCTCTCTCCATGAAAATTAATTTTAAATTGACAGATAATAAAGGAAGTAAGTGTAGGTCTAGAAGAGGAACTAAAGAGCCATCTAGAATATTTCATTGCCCTTTAGTCTGTCCCCCACACATTTGAAGCGTGTCCCTTGTGTTAGCCCATCTGCCACTCTGCAGCAGTTTCCATTGGTTAATGAGGTTATTTCTTCGGCTGAGATCCTATAATTGTTACAGTAACTTTTTTAGTTTAATATTGCATTAAATTTCTTCTGTTTCATAGGATTTCAAGTTTACTTCACATCCTCCAACACACTCTGAAAAAATTAAGTAGGTAAGTATTTTTTGGACGTTTTGCATTGATATGTCTTATTTTCTTAGATGAACATTCTTAGAAACTTACAAAATATATGTTGGTAGGAAAAACTGGAAAAGCAAGAATTACTTTGTCAAAGTAAAATTGTAAAAAATCTAAGTAAAAAGATAGTATAGTAGTATGTGGTTTTAATGAACTTGGAAGTATATTTTCCTAGAAAATTATTGCGTTGGTTTCCTGTTGCTGGTTGACAGATCACTTAGTGGCTTACACCAATACAAGTTACACCATGGTTTTGGTGATCAAAAATCCACTGGGCTGAAATCAAGGAATCATCAGGACTGGTTCCCTCTGGAGGCGCTCAGAACAGTATCAATTCCTGCCTTCTCTGTTTCTGGTGGCCCGGTGGATTCCTGGGCTTGGAGCTTTTTCCTTTGTCTTCACAGTGCGTCCCTCAAATTGCTGTACCCACATCACATCACCTCCCCTATTGTGTTTTTGTCACCCTGCTTCTGAGTAAGACCTTTGTGATTCCATTAGCCCATACGCAGGTACTCCAAGGTTAACATTGTGCCTCAGAACCCTTAACCCACTCACAGTGACAGAGCTGTTAAAGTAGTGTATTCTTAGCACCTGGAGACCCATGGGTGACACTCAGTGTGTGCCCATGGTGAGTGAGCTTCAATCTGATCAGGATGCGGTACCACAGTTAGAGTGGGGTTTTTGGAATAAAAAAGCAGTATAGAGCTAGTAGCCCACGGTTATTGTTCAGGACACATTTTAGAACATGCACTCTCCACCTCATCATCTACCAGATTGTTAGGAGCTTTGCGTAACTTACCTTAGTCCCTTATAGAAAGTCAAAGTGGAAAACAGTTCCAAAGTCTGCACCTAACATCTGCGAAGTTTGTGTTCTGAGTCTCTACTTAGCCTTATGTAACTAGCCATCATTTTCTTTATTTATAAACAAGATGACAGTGCCAGGTGCAGTCATTCCCTAAGCACCTTTCAGCTGTGAGATTCAGCAGCATTCTTACTTTATGTATTCTGTCCGTCATGTGAAGTACCACCAGGTGAGTGTTGGAAGGCAGCATGGATTTGGTACTTGCAGTTCTGTAGCTCTTGAGCTCTCAAGGTCCTAATGGATTAAAGTCAGGGCATGAGCCTGCTGCCTGCTTCCCTAGGCTGCAGGTGGCATCTGTGTCCTAGCCGTTTGTAGCTTCTAGAGGCCACCTGCTTCCCTTGTTTGCAGCTCTCCACCTCAGAAATTACAAAGGCAAGTTCACTTCTCTCATCAAACCACTGGACCTCCATGAGTCACTTCTGCCTCCTTCTTCTGCAGTGAAGCGATCTTGTGATTTCCTCAGCCAACCTAGATAATCCAGGAAAATCTGACCACTCTAAAGTCCTCTGGCAACAACCTAAATCCATTTGCTACCTCCATTCTCCTGTACATGTGAGACAGCATATATACAGGTCTCAAGCTTAGAGACTTACGTAAATACTGTTAGATTAGGAGGCCATTATTCTACTTCTTACAGTTCATTCTTGTGCTTTACACTTACGTGGTACTTGTAAGATACTTTGCAAAGTGTCTCAGTTTTCATCCATTAAACCTGTGCTCCGGGAGCTGGGCACAGCATCCCATGCCCATAGTGCCAGCTACTCAGGAGGCCAAGGTGGGAAGGTTCCTTCAGACTAGGAGTTCAACACCAGCCAGTGCTGGTGACACACACCTGTAATCCTAGCACTCAGGAGGCCAAGGCAGGAGGATCACTTTGAGTTCAAGGCCAGCCTGGGCTGCATAGTGAGACCTGACTCCACAAACAAATAACCTGTAAACACAGCTTTTCTTCACTTTAGTAAAGATAGGTAAGATATATGCATTTCTTTGATAAAAGCTCACTCTGAAAGATTATTTATTCCTACTACCAAGTCAAGCATTATTTATTTTCTTATATGAAAATAATTAGAAAAATTACCCAGAAAGTAATAATTCTGTGGACCTCTTTTGTCAATATCTATTACTTTTTGGCTTTAAAAAATTAATGAAAATGTAATTTCCTAGGTTTGTAGGCAGATCTATATAACTAAAATATGATTAATCTTTTAATAATGCGGGAAGAACTGTTCTCCTTTGCCCCTTTGATCCGGAGAAGTATGTAATCCCAAGGAAGCACAGTATATTAATCATATCCCTTTAGCTCTTGATGGTGCTACATTGAATCCTTAAAGCTTTCTAAGGAGGAAGAAAATTGTTGATTGGATATATGACATAACTAATTATTCTGTCAGTGGACTCTCATGATTAAGGGGATAGTTTGTAGAGTTTGACTGCCTGGGTTTATGTCCAAGCCCAGCTATACTCAGAGTCTTGGACAAATTACTAAGAACCTCTGACTTGCTTATTTTCCTCCAATATGGAGTCAGTAATTAACACTGTGCCTGGAAAGTTTTTATAAATAGGCTTAATGCAAAAATGGATTGAAGTGGTATTACGGTGGTTAGCTCATGGTAAACATGCAGTAAATGTTAGCAGCTGTTGTTACTGTTATTTATCCTCATAATAGCTCAGATTGTATTGTGATTGTTTCCCTGACTGTTTATTCCACTTTATGTTAAAATACTCAGTGTAGGCCAGGCATGGTGGTTGCATGCCTGTAATTGCAGCATTTGAAAGGCTGAGGCAAGATCGCCATGAATTCCAGGCCAGCGTGACTACAAAGGGAGACCCTGTCTTTAAAAAACAAAAATAAAAACAAAACACTTGATGTAGTAAATATGTCACATTCACTTTTGTATCTGTTTGCCTAATAAAAATGTTACAGGCATGTAAGTATCTGCTCTTTATGGATAGAGCATTAGGCACAGTATTTGTTTTTCTATTGTATGATTACAAATTGATAGACTAGTATAGAAAAACAGCATATGTTTAGATTGTTTTTAAAGCTTCCTAGATCTTAAATATTTATTTGTATCGTTCATAAAAGTGTTTTAGAGGTGGCATTCCATTCCACAGCTGGTTTAGATTTGCCGGTAGCCAGTGGTAAGGAGAGCGGGGTAGAAAGTGGCGCAGTAAGCCATCGAGCTGAGTCCCGGTCCCCCGTGTGCTTAGCCTGCAGGAGGGGTCCTACCTGTTGTCTCACGCAGCAGAGGATTCTTCCCTCCTGATCTACAAGGCCTCAGATGGAAAAGTCACAAGGACAGCATACAACCTGCACAAAACACACTGCGACCTTCCTGGCGTGCCTACCACTCTCTCAGTCCCCTGGGTGCCCCTGGACCCCAGCCTCCTGCTGCCGTATCACGTCCATCACGGACGGGTGCCTTGCACTTTCCCCCCAAAACCAGTGAGCCCTACATCATCACAAAAGGTAAGAGCTTCTAAAAACCTAAATGTTCTGTTGTTCATTGTTTCACTGACGGTATTTAACACTGATGTCCTCATCTGCCATGTGCATCTTTCATAAACTTGTGTGCACAGGAAAGGTAGATAAAGCCGTGTGTTCTTTTGAGTCCATGTTTTTGTCAGTGGAACTTTGTATTTTTGTAAGGTCCATGAACCAGTCAAAGAAGATTCTGTTAGCTGCCCCATGGGTATATGGGTAATACATCCACATAGTTAAATGAGTCATTTTTATTTACATATATTCTTTTAAATGTTACTAAATATTTGAACTAATTTCTAAAAGAATGCATATGATATATGTAATTATGATGCAGTTAAAAAGAGCTTAGTAGATGCTAGAACATTTAAAGCCAAGAATTAGTTTTTAGTAAATGGGAGACCTTATTAAAAATACAGTAGCTCACAGGTAGAGTGCTTACCTAGCATGCATGAGGCCATGGCTTTGATACTTGGCACCAAAAATCAAAACATTAAAAACAGTTAAAGAATTAGGGACTGGGGCTGGGGATTTAGCTCCGCGGCATAAGCCCCTGCCTTGCAAGCAGGCAGTCGTGAGTTCGATCCCTGGTACCAATAAAAAAGGAAAAAGACAAAAAATAAAAAGAATTAGGGACTATATTGTATTTTGATAAGTATTACCGAACCCAATATTTATTGAATTAGAAGTAATGTTATTTATAAACTTTCCCAGAAATGCCAACTGGATCACATTTCTTTATCTTAAACTTTGTGGCACAGAGGCAGGATTGCTGCAAGTTTGAGGCCACCTTGGGCTCCATAGTTCAAGGACAACCGGAGGTACATAGCGAGACCCTGTCTCAAAAAAAAGCCATACTTGTAAAGCCATGGCTAAAGATACTCTCCACCGTGTCAGCAGTCTCTGTATTATGTAAGAAATTCCATTCTGAGTTTAGTTGTAGGAAAACTCTTGCTGTCTACAAAGGAAATCCAAATGGTCAGGGTTTTTCTCCCCCACTGTCAGAAAATCCTTGAGTCCAAACTCCTGACTGGGTTCTACAGCCTTCTCCGTGGGGGTGCTCGGGGCACCTTGTGTGTGTCCTCTTCGGGTGTTCTGTTCTTCTTTTTCCGTTTTATTCTGCATTAATCCGTAGCTGTCCTGAGGGCCTTGTGTGAAATAGAAATGCTGGGAGTCTCAGAACTCAGTGAATGAAATTCTTCATGTTTTCAGTTCTCCACTCTAGTCACCCTAATGGTACTCTGGGGAGGGGTCTATCATTTGTTTGTTTGTTTTTGGTACCAGGAACCACTCATTTGTCTGTCTGTATTTATATGGATTTATTTTTGGCAGCAGGGATTTCGCCTAGGGCTTCCACCATAGAGCTGCTCGCACATTCCTGGGTCACTCTGGCCAAGAGGGTGAAGCTCTGGTTAAACAGTTGAGACAAATGTAAGAATAAAGGAAGTTAATGGTTTGCATTTTAGACCGTTTCATCAACATGCAAATAGTGATTTTAGTAACTTCCTAAGAAAAGATTTTAAGTAATTTAAAAATAATGAAAGAACTATTCTTGAGAGATCTATATTCTTTCTAGGAGAATGATTTTCTTTTAATTTAGAAACACTGATTATAGTCTCTCTACTGAAACATGTAATTCTATGTGGGAGTGGCTTATCCTTTTTAGTGAAAACGAACAGTTTAATACTTTGGCCCTAAACAACTTTAATTGGAAAGGGAAATACATTTGTATAAGATGTTTTTTAAAAAGACACGAGTAATACACTTTCCTTATTGATATAGATTAATTCTGCTTTATTTGGGAAAGGAGAAATTTATGTTCAGGCTCTGGCCTCATAAATACAGGTTTTAATAGTTCATTATGTGTATATCATTGGGTTCTTGTTGATTTGTGTTTTCTGAGATGCAGAATGTCCAGGGCCAAATCTCGAGTGAGTTTGTGCAGGGCCAGGTTGTGGTACAGCCAGCATTAGTTCTAGCAGACCCTTAAATCACTATCGCTTGGTTTGATGTGCTTTTGAAAGCCAGTGGGAAGTTTTGGTGATGATCTACTTACATCCTCACAATTTGGCCCTCCTTAGTCTTAGCAGGGTGGCCTTCCTTCCCACCTTCTGCTCAGCAGGCCACAGAAGCGAATCTCCTGCAGCCAAGCTCCTAAGCTCCAAGAGGGATGCTAGCCTTAGCGCCGAGCATGCGGGAGTGGGGCGAGGAAGTGAGGAAGACCAGCGCAGAGCGGAAATCTCTGCACACTTCATAGGCACAGAGATGTGTGTAGCAAGTGCATCTGGTCCCTGTGATCCCTTCTGTGTGCAGTGGCTCAGGGCGCTGCCCCATAAGGGACCCGCAGGCCACTTCTGCTCCCCCTGCACCGAGCAGTGGTGCCCAAGTCTCACCACTCCAACGCCATCCCTGCCTTCTGCTCCCAGCCTTTCTGAAGCACGTCTGCTCTCACCCGTCTTTATTTGCAACCTTTGTAATAGATGTTTACGACATGCATGGCCTCGCAGTGGAAACCTTCACAGTGCTTGCTTTCCTCAGAGATAGAGCAGATGGGATGACCGTGGTCAGTCTGCACTTACAGGAAATGCCAGCTGAGTGGAGAGTGAAAGTAGTGTAGATACCTAAAAGTCACAGCGCTTATGCCATCTGAGTGTTACAGATGCTCCTCAGACAGGGGTCAGACTCAAATCTCCACTCAAGTGTGTCCTTCTTAGCCAGGCACGGTGGCGCATGGTTGTAATCCCTGTGCTGTAGGCTGAGGCAGGAGGATCATGGCGAGTTCAAGGCCTGCATAACAGTGCAAGGCCAGTCTGGACTACATAACCAGACCTCCTGTGGTGGAGAGACGTTGCGGGGCAGCCGAGGAAGAGAGAGTGGACAAGGGCAGGCAGTGCAGGTGGTTTGGGCTCAGAGCCTTGGTCAGGCCTGCTGCCTGTGTAGGGGCAGCAGCTCCAGGTCCCCTCACATCCCCTCTGAGCTCCCTGTGTGCTGCGCAGGGAGCACCCCAGTCCCCTGTCTCCGCCCTGGTGCCGGCACTGCCCTCTCCCCTTGGAGCTCTGTAACCCTCCACCCGTCCCTGCGTTGCTCCTCTCACCTGTCCCTTCAGCCTCGGTTTGTCTCCGGTCATGGCTGAAGGTTTCCTGTTGCTTCCCTTTTCTCTCTGATCTGCTGCCCTCCTTTTGTGTGCATATGATTTCTTTCTCTTCTGTACTCCCTGGCCTGCTTATATTTGTTCCCTGACCTCATATTTCTGCTCTCTTCTTTTTTCTCGGCTCTCAGCAGCAGAATCATTGCAAATGCCCCACTGTAGAGGCCTGGCTTTCCCTTGCTTTCAAACTTAGCATTTCAGCCTCTTTGAATCTCACAGAGATGTACCTCTCCTGTTCCCTTCTCTACACTGCTCTGTCTCCTTCCCTGAAAATTTATAGTATTTTGAAATTGTGTCAGAGTAAAGCTTTGGAGTGTCCATGCGGTCACAGCGGCTCCTCCCCAGGGTGGCCAGGTTAGGTGAGGAGTGCGGCTGTGACTTCTCTGCTCTTGTGCTCTCTGCCCTCAGGTCGCTGGCCCCAAAATGCCTGCCCGGGCCCACAGGAATCCGGTTTCTGTGGAAACCAGAAGCAGCTGTTTGCCTGCTCAGCAAGTTGAAAATGAAGGAGTGGCTTCAAATAAAAGAAAAAGAACTTAAGGGCTGTGACATGGAAAATGAAGTCTCACAGAAACCCGTTGGAACAGTGTAATTTTGAAAGGTTTCAGGGAAGTGTGCCCAAGAGAGCAGTTGGCAAGAGGAGCATTTTTCTTTTTGGTGCCCTTAAGAGTCCCAGAAAAAAGCCTGGAGAAGGAATGCTTGTCCTGGGGGGGGGGGGTGTGCTCTGCTCCCTGAAGTCTGGGAAAGTCTCCGTCTGGTTTCACTTTATCATGGCAGGGAAATAAAGAAGAGAAATATTTTTATAGTAGACCTTTCCCGAAAAATTGTAAGCAGGAAAATCATGTTTTTTTTAAAGGAGTATTTATCACAATGTACTGTGTCAGTGATTTGAGTTAAAGATTAAATGTTGCCATTGCGGGAAATGAGTGTTGTAAGCCTTGCCTCTGACCCACTGAGTTTTTTATACTACTTTAAAGTGATGATTGTTGCACATTAATAAAGGTAACACCTTGAAAACTTGTTGAAATTATGATGCAGACATCAAAAGTAAAGACAAAATACTTACTTCCTCTGAAAAGTCACAAATTAGTAATTTCAACCTTCAGTTGCCAGGGGGAAAATGTTACCAGTCTAACAGGTTTGGCCAGCAAACTCACCGGAGGACAGAGCCAGGCACTGGGGGAAGGTGATTCTTTACTTTTCCAGCTGACACATGAGTGAGTGTAGGGTCAATGATAAGCTGTGTTTTTCCTCAGCTTTCTAATCAGATTTTTCAAGATCACATGTAGAAGGAGTGGGATCTGCTACTGTTAGTGTAGCTAATTTGGACCTTTAGGAGAAAGACCAATTCTGGTGACCCTGTTTTTTCATGTACACTGAAACTATTAGAAATATGTGTGTCAGGTGTGAACTACAAATTTTGTAATCCAAGGCAGTGTTTGTGTTGTTTTGGGAGTTTATTATGGGTTCTGTATTAATGTAAGAAGGCCCAACACTGGATGTGGATGTGTACACCTGTAATCCTAGCACCTCTGCAGGCTGAGACAGGAGGACTGCCATGAATTCGAGGTCAACCTGGGCTACATAGAAAGACCCTGTCTCAAGTCAAAAAAAAAAAAAAAATTAGACCTGAAAGTCTTCTCTGATATCATAAGTAACAGTTGAAAAATTTTATGTGTAACATAACCCAGGAATGTTTTAGGGGAGAATCATTTGGCAACAAGCCAAGAGAGGTGTTGGAATTCAAGCTGGACAATCACTGCTTCAGATGTCTGAAAGCCAGAGAGAGATACTGTTTGTTCGTTTGTTTCAGCTGACTTTCTTTTATCAGCATTAATGTTAACATATCAACATATATGATCTTCTAAGACATTTTAAAATTCTCTGTTATACATTTAAACCCTAAAAACATATAAGGCTGTGTCTCTATTAGAAAACCTCTGTTTACAACATATATTTAATTGTATTCTTTTCCTTGATTTTTAGCACACAGAATTTATAAGCACATGACATTGAGAGTATTAGCAAAGATTTAATTTAAAAAAAAAAAAAACAGGCATCAGGATGAGCTGAGCCTGGCACGGACACCTCTGCAGTGAAAGTAATTTACATAAAGATCTGGGAAAACAGTCTGATTCAGGAAATGAGATGTCCGAGCACAGCGTGTGCTTTGCAGCCTGCCCTAGGTCCTGGCTTCCACCTTCTCATAGCATTCTGTTTTCAGGCTTTGCCATGCTTGCTTATTTACTTCTTTCTTGAATGAAGGACAGATGTGTCTCTCGCTGTCAGGTAACACGCACCTAATCTCATGCCTGTCGAGTACTTGTTCTATAGCTATACCCTGTATGTATGTGTAAATAAATACAGCACAGTGGAGAAGAGACTTTTCCCTCCTCGCAAGCTGACATTCTACTGGAAGATGCTACACTCATCTGTGCAGTTGGTGTCAGTGATACAAGACAGTCAAGTCAAACTGGGACCAGTGGCGCAGGCCTGAGCTCCCGGCTACTTAGAAGGCTGAGGCAGGAAGGCCATCATATATGTTCAATGAGAGCCTGTACTATGTAGTGACATCTTGTCTCTGAATAAAAAGGGCTGCGAACGTACCTCAGAGGCATGGCACCTCAGTCCTCAGCAGTAGGGGGAAACCGAGTGGCAGTTATAAGGAAAAGATAAGGATTTCCATGCAGAATGCATACAGGAAAGGTGAAAAGCCGTCAGATTCGAGGCTGTGAACATGGGAGGTGGAAGAGGAAGCTGAGGACAGAGGCAGCCCTTTCCAAAACGTCTGAATTTTGTCTGTGCAGTGCGGAAGCCAGTGGTGTAGTTTAATAAACGAGTAATAGGATCAAACGTGTTGAAAAAGCTCTGCTTGCTCTAGAGCACACATTGGAGCTGCGAACATTGTGGGAAGGAAGCAAAGTTGGAATGCTGCGTCACAGAAGTTAAAAGATGGTGAAGCCTGAGTAGAGCAGCAAGAGTAGCTGATGGGATCCCTAGGGAGCAGTGATAGCTCCCTTGTGCCCATGGTAGGAGGTCACCTCAGCCTCGGGACTTCTCACATGGGACGCGGTGTAGTGATGGTGTTAGTTACTCTTTGAGAAAACGAGTGATTATTGCAAAGTAAGTTCACTCACTGATGGTTTCTTTTCATCACTTCTTGTGCTTCGGATTGAATGCTAGATAGCTTGCCTAACCAGTGTGATGAGCACTAAGTTACTCCAAACTTTAGCTGATTAACCCAGTAAATACTGGCTACCTCACAGCTTTTACAAGCCAGGAGTCTGGTTGCCTCTACCCAAGGCCTCTCACTACAGTCAGCCCTGAGCAGGGGCTGCAGTCCCATGAGTATCTGGTGGGATTGGAGCGTCCAATTCCGGGAGGGTTTCCTGGCCTGGTGTAGCTGTCCATCCACAGCACAAGGGGCTCCCCACTGGTCTGCTTGGGTGACCACAGCCTGGCAGCTGGCCTTGAGAGAGAGATCGTGTCAGGAGGAAACCTTGTTGTCTTACGGCCTAGACCTGGAAGTCAGACACCATCCCTTCTGCCATATTCTGCTTATAACAGACAAGTTACTGGCCATACATGGTGACACACATAATCCCAGCACTTGGAAGGCTGAGGCAGGAGAATTGCTGCATATTTGAGGCCAGCCTGGGCTCATAGTGAACTCAAAGGCAGCCTGAATTACACAGTGAGACCCTGTCTCAAAAAAAAAAAAAGAGGTTGGGGCTGGGGATTTAGCTCAGCGGCATAAGCGCCTGCCTTGCAAGCAGACAGTCGTGAGTTCGATCCCTGGTACTGATAAAAAGGAAAAAGACAAAAAAAGTCAGAGATTTAGCTCAGAGGCTCAAGAACTTTGAAGCCCAAGGTTGTGAGTTCGATCTCTGGTACCAAACAAAACAAAACAAAACACTGAAGTTCACAATCATGTTTTTGTAAGACAGGGTCTCTGTGTAGTCCAGACTGGCCTCAGACACACAGCAGTCCTCCTGCCTCCCCCTCTTGAAGAATGAAAAGAATGTATGAATGCATCTTTAAACCACCACTCTGGCCAGCGATATTTTGGGGATATAGAAGAATTAGGTTTGTAGTAGAAAGAAAAGGAGGCTTCTTTCCCAGATGACTACCAGCACCTTAGATCAGAGGTGGAAATAGCTGTGTGTGTCATGGATAGTTAATTTGAGTCCTGATCTCAAACGAGAAGCCTTACCAGTGCAGAGTTAGGAGTCACTGGTCAGTGTGGAAAGATTGAAATCACAGCAGAGGGAGGGTGAGATCACGGCACCACAGCAGTGAGTGGGATACGAAGAGGGCCATAAATTGAGCTGCCAGGAAAACCCGTAGAAGTTCAGTTAAACAGGTTTCATCACAGCGCCTCGTACACCTGCAGACTTACCGATGTGAGGGGAAGAATAGAATGCGGGTTGGAAACCAATTCTCCATGGCCAACCGGTCAGCAAAGCTGGGGACTGAGATGTCTTTCAACTGCAGAGAAAGTTTCATTCGCACTTCTGCCTGGACCCTGGTGTGCGCACCACAAACATTTTTAAACACACGAGAGTGGGTTTAGAGTGGAGAGTAGGGAGAGAACAGTTAATTTTCACTTTTCTCTACCGACATGCTCCATCTGCAGTTCCGTAGGATTGCTGTGCACTATGGGTAGGCGGTGCTTTGTCATAAAGCCTGTTTAGAGTATGTGAGCAGGGTCTTTGTTGGGCTGCTCACTGAGACGTGAAATAACCCAAAGATGCGTTTCGGTCATCCATCCTCTCTGAGAGTGTTCCCACAGTAGCATCCAGGCTGCTTCTCGAGGAATAGAAGAGTGGATACGTGGAAGGTGTAGGTCAGTCAGGGTCTGACCCACCAAACAAACCCCAAGCTCCGAGGGAGGCCCAAACCTGGGTTCCTCCGACAGACGGCGGAGTGCACCATAGAGCCCAGTGGTGGGTTCCCCTGGCCAGCCTTTCTTTTGGTGTGGGTGAGCAGTTGCTAAAAGGCGGTGAGTAAGGAGCACTGAGCCACAGGTTCCCAGTCCTCCCCTCTGCCCTCAGAAACAAGCACGAGCTCAAACAGGAGGGAGGGGCTGTCAGCATCTGTGCAGAGCCTGCCGTGGTCCCTGAAATAGCTCTACGACCGTGATGTATTTTTTCTGCCTTTCAGTCCATTGCTTTTAAAATTATGCTGAATATCAAAGCGGCCATGAAAGGTAAATGTTAGGGTCAGTTCAGGCCGTGGAAGCAGCCAGGACAGGACCTCCAGAACTGCTTCAGAAAGTGGCAGGAACCACTCGACTCATGTTCAGATCAAGGGGCATGGTAAGCAGTGTGTCTCGGGCTATAATAAATTTGTATACATTTCTGGGGCCAGAGATTTAGCTCAGTGGCATGAGCACCTGCCTTGCATGCGCACAGTCATGACTTCAATCCTTGGTACCAAAATAAACAAATAAATTTGTATACATTTCAGCAGTCATTGTGTGTTTCTGTCCCACTGTATGAAAACAGTTTAGCTGGTGCTAGAACTTGTCAGGACCTGAATATGTGGTCTCTGCCTCTTCTGGTAAGGACACATCAGCCTGGCAGCGTTCCTATCTCCCATTGCCGACGTGCTGGGAAAGACTCCTACTCGCTCTGACTCAGCTCTTCCAGCCTGGCCTCTGCAGGTCCGGTTCTCCAGGGCCAAGCACACAGGCATCCCTGCTCTGCCCACTGGCGTCTCAGCAGGCCTCCGGCCAGCTGAAACTCCTGCCACTCACTGTCAGGGTTTTGGCCTAACCTGGTAGGGGGAGTACAGGTAAATAAAGAGTGCAACAAGTCCAGAGCCAGCTGCACTGACTACAGCATCCTGAAGGTGCCCACAGAGGGTAAGAGACGATTGGCAAACAGGTGCTCAGCAGGGTCAGAAGGAAGGAGGTCTGGGGTGCTCAGGTATGGCAGGGTTTAGACAGACAGTGATAATGTGCTGTGTATTTCAGAAAAAGAAAGGATTTTGAGTTTTCCCACCCCCCAAAAAAT